CGTACGGATCCTCAGACAGCTTCTGCAGGATGGGCAGGGCGAACGCTGCCGTTTTACCGCTGCCCGTCTTCGCACAGCCAACACAGTCTCGACCTGTTAGTGAATGAGACATACGCGGAGGAACGCAACAAAGCAGAATGCATGTACAAAAACAGTTGAGTTCCGTAACGAAGTCAGCATACTCAATCACAAGCACACTACAACGCTCGTCTCCATGGGAACATCCTACATCCTGGAAAGAAAAAAAGTCCAGTGCAAAAGAACTTTTCATCAAGCACCACACCATAACTGTGCTCTCCAGCCGACCTCGACACAGGTTCAGGTACAGGGCTGAATGCACACACACACGCACACGTGCGCATGCACACCATTGGACGCCCATCGCCGGAGGCGATGATAGCGATGCTGCAGTAGAAGCCATAGAAACTTGTGCTTGGATTGCACCATTCAACAGCTTGCAAGGCTGAAGAATTGACCGCCACTGTTCAGCCTGGTCTACACCACACAGCTATGAAGTGGCTTTTTCTGGCCAGAGAATCCCTACTTTTTGGTCTTTTTCATTTTTTTCCCGCACGCACACCACACACTCTGGCATGCACTGGCTGTTGGTAACCACCCAGGAGTACACACACACACACACACACACACACACACACACACACACACACACACACACACACACACACACACACACACACACACACACACCAGGGATCGATTTATCCGGGTTCGCATCGCAGTTTGCGAATCAAAATTCACTGGCTGCGATTCGCTTTTCGTTTTTTATCGCCCAAAACTGCGATGCACTACAAAGACCAGTTGTGTGCAGTCTACATGCGACTGATGTACACACTGTACTGCTGACTAGGGAGTAGTATTTTACTACTCCAACCAACTGGCCTGTCCTGCTCAGTCCGCGCGGGTCGCGGACTCGCGGATCGCGCTCTTTCGATTTTGGACACTGCACTACCACTGGTCGTACATGACTGCATGCAGTCTTCTGAAGTTTTGTACACGGCGGTGACTTTTCCTGATGTTCTCCTTTCTTCTTTCACTGTCAAGCTCAGTTTGTTTCTGTTCGACAAGGCACAGTTGAAGTAGATGGTTCTTAGTCTCATGTAGCCAACATGTCAGTGAATCTGATCAGTGATTCACTGCCCAGAAGAGGGACAAAGAACTGGACGCGCCAGGAATGTCGATTCGTTTCGATGAAGAAAAGGAGAAAAGCGAAATTCGATGCGCTTTGCACGAAATGTCCCGATCGTTTGAGCGCTTTCCTGAGGTTTCTTTGTCGAAGGAATCAGTGGAACTGCCCTGTTGAAAGACATTGTGTTGTGAAGAACTCGAAGACGGATGGACGCTGAACATGTAACGTGCCCAAGCGAAAACTCTAACGTAAATATTCAGGTTGAACATTCGCTTGGAAAAGCAAATAGCAACTGCAGCTATTGTCCTCTTCTTTACGAAATCCTGCTATTGTACAGCTATACATGTAAACTTTCGAAGAAGGAAAAACTGCTAATCAATACTGGGAGTTGCTAGTCAATTGTAAAACTGTGTAGCAGTGACTGCTATGCAAAAAAATCAAAGTAAATCGATCCCTGCACACACACTCACACACACACACACACACACACACACACACACAAACCACACACACACACACACACAGATACCACACTAGTTCAGTCATTTTGCACAACCTTTCTCACGTACACTAGGGTGACAGGCACTAATGGTGTGTGTTGCGCTATTTACACCAGTAACCTGCTGCTATATACAATGTGCTAGGTGTAAAACACAAACTCCACTGATGATGGTCACGAGGCAACCTTCTGGATGCTAGCAAGAGTACATGAAAACCAGAGTGTGCAGCTCGGATGGGTTGCTGTCACGGCGAAATTCCGTGATTACATCATTTTAGTGATGTAGTGCGTACAAGCAGGATTCAAGCAGGTCTCTTTCTGCACAACTGCAGCTCAGTTGTACGCACTACGCCATTTCCCGCCTCAGATCTGGGCCAAATATGATGTAATCACGGAATTTCGCCGTGACAGACACCCATAGCAGAAAAGGCCCCAAGCTGCACACTCTGGTTTTCATGTACTCTTGATGCTAGTACATGTACACGCATTCATTTCATAACGGTACGACCTATGAGTGCATAATTATTTTGATTCATTGCTATTTTGAGGAATTGGCTACGCTTTGGAATTGTTTTCGTTGCCTATGTCCTCATCTCTCTTCGTTTTGTTTTCGCTGCCTGGGCTCTCATTTATTTTCGCTTGCTTGCTTGTATTGCTGAGGGAACATATGCTGGTTTGTATTCGTGAGTCCCCATGGTGCATGGGCCACGCGTATTACTTCAGTAACGTCTGGCGCTAGCCAGGGTCCACACAGCTTTAATTTGGTGTTTGTTTGTTTGTGTGTTTGTGTCACGCCTGGCGCTATCCCGTATCTGTCCCGCACCGTACCGTACCATCAAACACAGCTGGCCACATACAGCTGGCCGCAATATTCAAATAGGGCTTTCAAACGCAAGATCATAACGTGAAGCAACTTGGAAGAATGAGTATGAATGCGAAGTGTATGGGGGAATGCATGTGGGGCGATAGTGCGGGTTCGAATCCCAGGTAATGCCTGAAAAAATAGGAGAATTGAAAAAATTATAGCATCCCTTTTCTTTTTTTGCCGTCATCAAGGCGGTAGACGTGTCGTATTACCCTCGACCGTACCTGTCCCGTACCGTACATTCAAAGACGGCTGGCCACAATGCATATTCAAATAGGGCTTTCAAATACAAGATCATAACGTGAAGCAACTTGGAAGAATTAGTATGTATGCGAAGTGTATTGGGGGATGCAAGCAGGGCGATAGTGCGGGTTCGAATCCCAGGTCCCAGGTAAAAACAAAAAGTAGAAACTTATAAGAATTTATAACATCCCTATGCTTTTTTGTCTCGGTCATCAAGGCAAAAAAGCATAGCGTAGGGCCCTGAGCTTCCAAGCTCTCTCATTTGAGGAATTACCCGTCCACAGGAGTGGGTAGAACACCCTTTCCCTGTTGCATAAGATATAGCGAGCTTCATTTGAGCACCCTACGTATCATTTCCAGTCAAGCGTCCGTGGATATAAAGTACTTGGGCGATAATTTACGGACCCCACGGAGGTGCGTTAGACTGAAATTTCAACTTTTAATGTAAAATTTACGGTCCGTTACTCACCGCTCAGTATTTCAGGGATGCAGCTGGCCTGGACTGGTGTTGGAACTCGCATCGCCATGGCATTCGCCTGGCGGACGAGCCATTTACTCACGCCAAGCTCCTCGAATGACGACATGGCGCCAGCAGCTCCAGCAAACACGCGTTTCACCTTCCTCTAAAACAATGTTTAGCCACAGCAACCCAGTGGTTCGAAATCACACTCGACGTTGCGAATTCCTCCTGTTAATTCCCCTCTCAGTAAAATAGATGCAATGAAAGGAGTCAGGAAAGAGCAGTATAAAACCGTAAACCAGTTTAGAAAGGCACGGCTGAGCTTGAAGTTGAGAAACCAAATCAGAAGCCAATATTCTGCTCGTTCAACAAGCTCAAGGCACTTATTTGCAATGTAGAAGACTTCCAAAAAAAAGTGTAGCATGCCATGATTATCTCATTGACATGATGACGGCGGTTCGATGACATCATCATGGATATATATGTGGCATAAAGAAAAAATATCGCCAAAAAAAGTTGAAAAACGGTAGTGAGAATAATGTTTCATGCTTGAAGTAAGTTGAACAATAATTATTGTAGCCAATATTGCAATGTAGGTACACTTTCTCATTGTCTTCAAATCATTGGGGATCGTTGTATTCTTCTCCGTTATCTATGGCGAGCTCTCACATTGATGAAACGCTCCCTGACGAGCTAGAAGAGGTGTGTACAGAGTTTCATCAGCGCCTGCAGGAGGCAAAGCAGAAACTGTCGGCCTTGACTGAGAACAGCCGGGAGGATGTGCACGAAGCCATTGGCGACGACCTGGTGGATCGTGCCAATTTGGATCTGACCGTAGCCTACGCGGCCACGTCACTGTACTGGTGTTACCTGTGCACGCAGGGCGTGAGCACCTCAGAGCACCCGGTAAGGCATGAGCTTGACCGCATCAAGAAGACGATGGCACGCGCCGCGGATGTGCGTAAGCAGCTCAGCGGACGCAGCACCACTGTCAACAAGTCGGCAGCCAAGCGCATTGTCCAGAGCGGCATCCAGACGCCGGGCAAGGAACAGCAACGCGAAAAGGACAAGAAGGCACGCCAGCAACAAGAGGCACAGGACCGTGCCATGGCGAAGCGCCGCTCCCGCTCCAGCAGTCCATCAAGCCTGCGCGACGCATCGGAAAAGCGCCGTAAAACCTGACCAACATCGTCTTCCGACCTAAACAACTGTATCACCACCCAACAACTACTCGGTCAACTGACATGTCACGTAAGCGGTGCGAGTTTCGTCAGCGATGCAAGCCGGTTATACTTGGAGGCCGGAGTGAGTTTCAGTCCATGAGCTCTCAGCCCCGTCCGCCAGTGGCTTGGCTGCATCTTGTCCTTGTGGTGTGCACTGCTGTAGTACATGCCTTGCGGAAGCTCCATGAGGTACGTCGGAAACTCATGGAGTGCACGATCCACTCCTGTCTTGCTGGGACCCGATGAGCGGACACTTCCGCAGCTTGAGAGACATTCCCGTGGCAGCCTTCTCGCCATGTGCTTAGCTTGATGCTGCATCCTCGGTCAACATTATTTATGACCTTGGGAGGCCTTTCTCACACCGGCTTGGGTTTTTAGTATGTTCTGGCCTGGATCATGGTGCCATGGACTTGCTCTTGACATTGTTTGATGGGTTCTACCCGCTTTCATGCTGTTTTCTCTCTGTCTGTTTGTTCGTGCGCATGTGTGTGTGTGTGTGTGCGCGCGCACGCTACAGGCAGTGGCATTTTATGTTTTATTAGGAGAAGACTACGCTGCTCCTCTTGGCGTTAACACTTTCTACTTACGTGCCTTTCTCTCATTTAGTATGATGGCTTTGGATTGCACGATGCCTGGCCAACGTCTTCTGTTCGCAATCTGCCTGTAATCTAGCTGTGTATCAATCGTGGACCAGGGGGGGGGGCTAGAAGCCAGCGACTGATAGAGGCTAGGAACTACTACTGTCGTGGACATGAAAATCCGGTCAAATGGCGTCCTTAGTGCGGACGCTAAGTTGCATGTGTGTACCGTATGCGTGCTCATGGCTGCATAGGCAGCGCCCCGGGGGCTGCTTGACCTCCGACCGTATTTCCATGTCCACGACATTAGAAGCCATGGGACTACTTGAGTACTTTACTAGAAGCCAGGCTCCCTGAAAGGGTAATGAAGATATCGAGCCAGTTGAAAAATGCTGCAGTGACAATAGTGCATGCTTCCCGTAAAGCACGTGTTGGCTTCGCGTTTTGCCACTGAAATATTATTCATGCAAATGCCGAGGCATTGGACGACTGTCTCTGAGTGCAACGACTTTAGTCGACAAGTCACCCGTGGCCTATTATAAGAGAACACTAACACGCATACCGTATTATCTCTAATATAAGCACGGTCCTTTATTTTTTCAATGTACACTCGGACGTCTCTTATCCGGGGACCGGGCACTGCCCGTATCTCAGGATAACTCATCTACCATGTACAATATCATTTTTTTAAGAAGAATATTTGGAACGTATTGCACATGTTCAGGATACAAAAGGAACCCATTGGTAAAATGTGTGGATTACATAGGTTGGCAGTGAAAAATAAGCACTTCCACATACGGAAAAAAGTTCAAAAACCCCAAATTCGAAGCATTTGTGCAATAGGAACTCAAGCTGAAGGTGCCCGGTAGAGAGACGTGCCCGTATCTGAGGCGTCCGGATAAGAGGCGTTTGAGTGTACCCCCACCCCGTGCTATTATTGGAGACTGTTCCATTATTATTTCAACCTCATTTCAGAGGCATGTTGCCATGCCAAATTTATATAATTATTATGTCAGACACACACATTTCAGGGTTTTTTCGCCGGTACAGATAATGAATTTACACAGTGTGCTTATAATGGAGACTGAGCACTTTATTTTTTGAATGCCGCCCCAAGGTGTTCTATTATTGGAGACTGTGCTTATATTAGAGATAATACGGTACATGCTCAAGGGGTGGTAGAATACATGCAGCTGTTCAATAAAATCCAATGGTGTGCAACTTCATGTGCATGAGTTTGTCTGGCAAGTACAGTAAAGCAATCTGCACCAGTTTTTATTGTATTTTTCTACTAGCAAACACAGCCCTGTACTCGCTATAGCCTATACTACTAATAATCGGGGAAAGAGGACAACAAGACAAAGGGGAGTGGGGGCGATGTGCCGATATGGTTGGCGAAGCTCATCCGACCAGTGCACAGCACCCGGCATGCACTCGAACAATCGGATTTCAGCGAGCAGCACCGTACGTGCATGTATTAACAGCTCCCTATTCCAGCCCCCATCCTCAATACGCAATTGTGGTCAAAGAAATCCGAGGCGCGAGTTAAAGGCAGCACCGTGTTTCCACTCCAATCACATTATGCGCAATCCAAAGCTCGTCCAAGGGCTGCATGAGCCTTGGTGCTGCTTTCGGGTTGGATTTCTCCGGCCAGAACTGTATTGGATCGCAAACACTGAGGGGGCAAACCGCAAACCTCAACAGCACACAAGGTCAGCAGTTCATTCTGGATAAGGTTAGGTATGGCACATTGCAACATTTCGGTCGCCAAAAGAACATGCAGCCACATAGAAACTTTGCAAAGAGGGTCAATGAAGCCAGAGCCAGAGGCTCCCATCAAGATGTGAAGATGAAGCAAAACGAACCACCGTTGTAGTGCTAACAGAGAATTATGAACTGCCCAAAGAGGTGCGCGTAAGAGATTCAGCGTGGGGCAGCATGGCAAAAGAAAAGAAAAGCGTTGTGGCACTGCACTCTCGATTAGAACAAGAGAAACTATATTTTATGCACTAGAGAATAGTCGTGTAAATAATAAATAATAATAAAAAATCTGTATGAACATCAAGGAGAATTCTTCCCTATATGGGCTAATACATAACCCATCAAGCGCCAAGGGTTGTTGTTCATGTCACACCAAGTAGTCAGATTCGGTTACAACTTTGTCCTCTATGCCAGAAGCCGCAGCCGGGCTGGCTGCAGGCAGGCACACATCACTGGGGCTTGCTCGGTGCAGCCTTCGTGTCACACAGGGCGCGTACCTCGCTCATAGCCCGCTGGATGTTCTCCGCAAAGCGCTGCGAGCTAGTTACCGGGGCCGAATGCTTTGACGAAATGTGGAAGAAGATGCGGTCGTTTGAGAGAATGTACGATACACCGTAGCCATCATCGGCGACTGGTCCAAAACCACCGCCGGGCGAATAGAACTCTCCCGGGCCCTTGCGCAGGAGGAATATGGACTGTTTGGTCTGGGACTCGGGCGTTTGGGATGTGGACAGTCGCCAGGGCTCGCCAAGGACGGCGTCGAGGAAAGGCGACTTCTCCTTGAGGTACTGCGACACGACGTACATGGTGAACAGATGGCGGTCGGCGCCCTTGCCGGCCATGGCGTTGCGGTAGTTGTCCTGGTGCACCTCGACGGCGCGGTTCAGCAGCGCACGCCGCTTGTCGGCCGTCGTCGACGCGTCCAGCATGGCATGAACAAACGCGCTCGACTCCACGGTGCCCGGCCGGACGGTCTCCGTGCGGCCCTTGCAGTACAGGCGCGTCATGGATGCCTCGTAGGTCAGACTGAAGTGGCCAATGTCACGGTAGTAGGCCAGCTGCAGCGCCATCTGGATGAAGGCGTCCGGACTGGTGCGGCATTTCTTGATGCCGTCCTTGCCGAAGCTGTTGTGATCCAGGATGAACAAGTCCAGGTCGGCGATCAGCTTGCGAGCGTCGACGAGCGCCGTCTCGATCACCTTGCCGGCTGCGGCGTTGAACTCCCAGTGCAGACGCTGCGGTGGTCGTAGCGGTGCGGACTTCTCGCCGATGGCGTGGCCGTCGGCGTCGTAGCAGTTCCCTTGCAGCTGCATCTTCTGCTCGTTGGTGTAGATCACCTCGGAGACGTGGGCGACGACGGGGGCATCCGCCCACGCGTGCTCGGCGGTGATGTGGAAGCGCGCGTTCGTGTAGACGGTGAAGACGATGGACTTGTCGAACCAGCGGCTGCAGCCGCTGCCGTGCAGGCCCTGGTGGCCAAACTCCGACAGCTTCTCGCCGATGATCTCCGGCTCGCCGTCGTCAAGGACGACTATGAACGCCGCCGAGTCGATGCGCTCCAGCGCGTGCGCGTTGTTGCGGTTGGTGAGCATGTGCGTCTCGCGGAACTCGGCCCAGGTCTTGCGCTTGACGCCGGTCATGGCCGGCAGGTGCAGGTGCGACACCGGTACGTCCTGGTCGAGGTGGTCCTCGTCCAGGATGTGCTGCACGCGCTCCTCCAGCTCCGGCGGCGTCAGCAGCCGCCCGTTCCACTTGAGCGGCAGCTCGTAGAAGCGGCCGTGGCGCATGATCACCACGTGCTGCGACTGCGACGCCGGCACGTGCACCAGGCTGTCCTCCTCGTGCCCGGGGCGGCGCGTGGTGCCGAACGTGCGCTTGTACTGGTCCATGCACAGCGGGATGGTGTCGCGGATCATGATCGGGTCGATTAGCTCGTTGTCCAGCTTGTCCTTGTACCTGGCCACGATGTTAATCACCTGACTGGCGCGGGCTGCCTGGCATGTAGTGTGCTTCGCCACCAGGTCTAGGATGTAATAGTTTGAGTTGATCATGATCGGCGAGCGTCCGCGCAGATACACGTACTTGATCCACCAGTTACTGACGTAGTTCTTGTTGCACAGCCACCAGAGCCACAGGTAGCGCTGAATGCGCGCACCCAGGCCACCCTGGAACTCGCCGGCCATCTTCTCCAGCTCCTTGTAACGCTCCGTGCTCACAAGGTGGCGCACCGACTTCAGGTAGCGCTCACAGGTGCCGCGCACCGACGGCAGGGGCAGGCAGGGCAGAGTCGACTGGTACGTGTACATGGTCGGGGTGATCGGCCCCTCCAGCATGCGCACCAGAAAGAACCAGGCGCGGATGTGCAGCGGAGACTTGCCGTGCGGGACGTACAGAAACCCCTTGTAGGACAGCATGAGAAGCAGAGCATAGCGCTGGATCAGGACGGCAACCGTCCACACGGACGCGCCGAGCAGCAGCGCCGCCGTCGGTCCCTGCACAGCCTCGGGCAGGTAGGACAATCCGGGCACGTACGACTTCCATACAGACAAAATCAGCTGGTCTGGGGTGAGGTGTTGAGCAACGTAGAACGCCAAGAGAAGCGCCAGCAAAGTCCATACGGATCCAGGATAGATGGTTCTCAGGATGACATTTCTAGTGTACGTGACACGCTTCACTGCAGAATACACCACTGACAGCAAGACGTGATAAACCAACGTCCGATCCAAATTCACTTCCAAGTTGCCATCGTCGTTGACTTGCAGCCGGAATGCAACTGCCAGACGGGCCTCGGCCATATTTGCGAAGCTCAGCAGTTTCCACAAATCCGCACACGTCGACAGAAGCCCTGGCGTTCGCCGAATCCAGCTACCCTAACTAGTAAGGAAGTCAGCCAGGTCAGAATGGCCCAGAAAGCTGCCAGTCACCGAGGGGGAAAGGGGAAAGGCAAGTCGCGCAAAGAAACCCTGAAACCGCCGAGATTCCAAGCAAGCTGCAGCCACGCAGGGATGCCGCGCAGGCACACACCCCCACGATCACGACCTCGAACCTGCGTTCCCGTTGCCGTTGACGAAGGGGCCGTAGGTCTACCATTCGCCGGATCGATCGCGGATCGAACCAGGCATACGCACACGGTAGATCTACCTGGTACACACAAGATCTGCCAGCGCACAGCTGACCAAGCTCTGCCGCTCTGCGAGATAGTAAACGCTATCGCGGGGCGGGGTACAGCGCAGCGCGCTGCGCTTTTTGCACTTTACAAAACTAATTTTCTCGACTCTGTACTCTGTACTGTCTCCAGCGGATCTATCACCAGATCACATCACATCAACACAGGCTTGCATCATTGCGCTGCCTGGAAATGAGTTCAAGGTCATAATTCCTTGGCTGCATGATCCGTCAAGCTTTGCAGGCCATGCCACACTGCAGTACTGCCCTGCCTGAAGAGGAACCAAGCCATTAGCTCAAGCACAAGTCTAGAACGTACTACAGCACCAAATGCTCAGGCAGAAGATTTTTTGGTGCTGCGCTGTTTACTGACTGTCCGCGCGCGATGGGCTCGCTGGTTCTCGGTTGCACCCCATAAAAATCATGATCACTATGCACTCTGATAATACTGCCCGTCGCGTCCCTGATGACCGAGTGAGAACCATACCATGGCATGTACCACACACGTAACGAGTTACGTTCAGCTCGATCGAGGAGCGTCGCACTTCCTCAGTTCTATTCAGGCTGCACTGCACTTGACTTGGCTGCGCTGGTCACTGTCATATTTTGAGATCCCGCGTCAGCACATTATTTTCATAAACGGTCGGTGGCAGCACTGCAGCAGCGTCCATTCATTGTTGAATGCTGTCAGACTACAAAAATGTACCATGCATTGTCGACCACTGCAGACTGCAGTATGCCAACGGCACTGATCTACGTGTAGATCTACATAGTAGTACTAGTAGACACCACACACTACAAAAATACAGTCATATCCAGCCCTAGGCCCTCGTAGTCGTACTACAGAGAGCTAGAGGTTTGGTGGTAAAAGAATGGTTCACGTGACTTCAATCGTTCTGGTATGATTCCGGAATTCCAATTCCGGAAACTAGGATTCAAGACAAGGGCACAGTCAGGTACCGGTATGTACTAGTAGTAGTAAAATCATGTACTGCATGTACATCGTATAACTCCCCTACAATTGAGTAGTCCCAACATAATGAGGGTCAGAACTGGGTTCAACACCCATAATGATGGTTCAGATGGTTCCAACGGACCGGGGCTCTACCAACCGTGGATGGTTGTAGTAAGGTCACTGTTTGCGAACACGGTGTCCTCCACCTAAAAGTCCTTGTTTCATGCCGTCATCCAGTGTCAAACCAACAGCATGATTGTACTTACTCAGTGCCTGTTGTTGGACACAGTCCCGCTATAGCAGCCATGCGGCCCCAGGCTTTCAAAGTTTGGTGTTGGATACCCGTGGGCTTGTGCCTGAATTGCAAGGACTTCAGACGTTCCGTGACCAGGGACCAGCTTTTAACAACGACATGATTTCGTTCTTCAGTTCTATTTCCCAACTGTTACTTCGCTCCATAATTCCCGACCTTGGGCCAGGCGCATCCCTGGCTAGGCTAGCCTGCACGACAAGGACTAGTACTTAGTTACGTGTACATTGACTTCCACTACAAGTACTGAGTGCTTGGTACTAATCGTTCACCCATGCAACTGTTTTGGGTCGAACATGGTATGCCGGATCCGTATGGCATACCATCGCAGGCACTGCTGAGCTCGTCGTCGTAGTAAGTATTGCCCAGTCATCATTGTCTGGTCCTGCGATGTCTTGTGATGCACCACGTGCAACATGCGTCGTTGTGAAAAGCATCATTCCATCAACCGAACCCATGTCATGGTGGTAGCGCGATCCTGCGCTGTTGGGACGCCCGCGTCTGCTGTAGACTTGAGCAGCAGAGCAATGCAAACGTCAATACGAAGGCTTAGGCAAGGTCTAAACCAGGGAGTAGTAAAATACTACTCCCTGTAAAATACTACTCCCTGGTCTAAACCGTCTGAGTCTGAAGCAAAGTCTGCAAAGATAATCGTCACTGAAGAGAGTTCAAGAGGCAGCCCCTACTCTACTCTAGTAGTAGTACTAGAACATGACATGCGTGAATGGTGATAGGCTATGGCGGTCCTCATCCACAAGGTGGGCTGGTCGTGAATATGTCACTCATTGTCAGGGGAGTCTAGGTCTGCTTCGAGCCCCACTGGCACTGAACTAACTCAGTAACTGGTCTTGTGACTAGTGCTAGTAGTAGTAGTAAGCTATAAGCTCGAGTGAGTTAGTTAGTGAGACCTTCAAGTATTAGTTAGTTAGTTCACCTGCGGGTGAAGGCACTGAAGCGTTTGTCACACGATCCAGGCCAACTCTCAGAGGAGCAATGCCTGTCTTGCAGCCTGGCGCCTTGACAGTTATCCCGTTTGTGCGTTTCACGCCTTATATGTGCATGTGTATGGTCACAGTGGCGCAGACTATCACGAGACTTGCGATAGTCCGCACCACTGCGTACATGTACATGTACATGTGAAGTCAAGCAAGTGCGCGTCCCTCAAAGCCTCTATCTACACTACAGAACCCTTATTCATGGCTCACACATGACGGGTTTACGTGGCTCTAGTAAAAGTGGCGAGCTACACTCTGTAGGCTAGCTAGACATGTGACAGCGTCCTTGCATGTCGACATGTCATGCCAAGCGTGTGTCAAAGGAGAAACACGACACGTGCGTCACGTGTCAACAAAAACTTCACCAGCTCCATATTCTGATGTGCAAGTGCCTCCGTCTGTACATTGTACAGGTATGCACACACCTTGACCGATGACCTTCCACCCCTGGCCTGAGGATTGCACAACACATCATGTCTATTATTTCAGAATGTTCTGCATCATAGACATTGTCATGCGGCTCCAGCGCGGCTTGCAAAAAATCACCCATCTTGATCTAATCTCCGCATCTTCGCTCTCCATTACAAGTTAAGATCATTGATACCAAAATCACTGGCAGCAGGAACGCAGTATTGAATTCTGTAATACAAACAATCTACAAAGCCAATGGCAATGGTACATGTACATGCGCTACGTGCAGCCGAAGATGTGGAGGCTGGCGAGAGCTCACATCAACTTGGTAAGGAAGAAGGCGATGCAAAATAGTGTCGGCGAGCACATGATGAAAGAGTTACAGACTGACCACGAAGAGAATACTGTAAACGTCGGGCAGGGGGAGGGGGGTGGGGGGGGGGGGGAGGGGTGGGGTGGGGTGGTGTTGATGGGCATTGCTGCAAAATCCTCCTACCTTCCTTGCCTCTGTTCCTGGCCCTGTACTGTCTCTGCTCTCTATGTCTCTATCTGTCTCCGCCTGTCTCTGTCTTTGTATATCCGTCTATCTATCTCTGCCTCTCCCTCTGTCTCTCCCTTTCTCCCTTTGCCTCTCTCTGTCTACATGTATGTGTCTCTCCGTCCCTCTGTTTCCAGTTCTCTTCATCATCCCTTATTGCATGCAATGGTTCTTCTAATAAGGCACACTGCTATGAGAAAGCCTCGAGTTTTATATTATTGATTTGGAGCGTCGGGGCGTTCCTATTGGCACGTGTGCAGTACTGGGCTGCATTCTGCCTTCGCAGCTGCGAAACTATTACAGTCCCCTTGTGAGGCTGTGTGGTGCGATACACAACCAGAGGGCGGTGGATATGATCTCCATTCTATGTCTCGGCGGGTTGCTTCACTCATGAATCACTGTGCATTGTATACCTGATCGTGGAGTGTTCTCTGGAGTACATGTAGATCTACAGGGCATGATGCATGAGCGTATACTGGCAAAGCATGGCTTGGATCACTCCGTAGCATCTACATGTACATGACTTGTACATCTACATCTATGGTCGTATACATGTAGGTACAGTGGACATCGGAACACACTTTGCAGCTGTCCTGTATGCACAGTACATCATCATGTAGATACTCTTTGTACTGTAAACTCACTGGCTTACTTGCGCTATATCCCACACATGTACATGACTGTATATCACGCTCGTATTCAATGCACAGTGTCAGTAAAGCCTTTGTTTGCCGGACCCTGTACGTAGCAGAATCCTGACGCCGTGACGGGACATTAGTTTCATGCACCGACGTCACAGTGCTGTGGGTCGAGTGTGCAACCCTGGATCAAGGGGAATCCCCAGATGATCATTCTAGCCTCTAGGATTCTGCAGGGCGTGAAACTGGCAAGATTTTACAAATCGGATGGTGGGCAATTCCTTGAATTCTGCTCCTATTCCTTATCCATACATGTAGATCACAGATGCATGAAACATACCAAAAAGTAGTACTAAGTGGTTCTAAGTGCTGAGGGGGGGGGGGGGGGGGGGGTTCTAGGCCTTGACGGATTATGCTAATATTTTCGTGAAAATTTAATTATGCTTTTCGCATTGCTGAAAAAATTCCCGAAATATGCTATTTTTATGCTAAAAGTTATCATATTATGCCGCATTATGCTCACATATGCTGCTAATGTACATGATGGTTCTGTGCAAAATAACAGGGGAATATTTTGTAGAGGGCGTTGTACTGCAGTAGCAAAAGTTCAACGGGGTCAACGCACCGTCCGACCTAGCTACGAACGTCACTGATTGTAGTTGACTGGACATATTATCAAGGGAGTCGTGAACCTTTTGACTTCCTGGTGCATCTACTTGTACTTGTACTTGTAGAACATGTACAACTGTATGGAATTTGATGCGAAAAGGCGGATTATTCCAATTTATGCGATTCGTATGTAATTAGCCTCGAATTATGCGATTATTCGATTTTGGTAGGAATTATGCGAAAAATTATGCTAGCATAATCCGTCAAGCCCTAGGCCGGGGGGTTCTCCCAGGATTATCCGCCGAGGGCTATCGCCGCTATCCTGAATTCAGGGTTCCTCAGCTCAAACATGGTCTCTTCGTTGCATACATCACTTTTAAAACGTGTTCACCAAATATTCGAATGTGGCCCAACATCATGGTGAACAAAGAGTAAACTGCCTTTTGTACCTACATGTACATGTACATGTAACTGCAAACAAAAAACGAAAAGAGTAGATACATGTATGCTGTTAGGTGCTGTACGAAAATGATGAGAAGAGTGTGGCGAAAAAGAAAAGAAAAAAGGCACTAGAAATCGGTGTGTATGCGCAAAGAGTAGCAGCACTGGTGAAAGGCATTGGGAGAAAGAAAGGAAGGGAAAGGGAGGTAGAGAAGCGAAGAGCTATGTCTGTGTGTGTGGATGTGTTAGTGCGACATAGACTACTAGTATGCAGTGTTGCTGCATTTATACGTGTGAAGTCAAAGATGAAGACGAATCATTTGCTAAGTTCTGTACAACTAGTTCGCATACTCATACACCAAACATTATTGAGCCATTCTTTATGTGCAACATCACAGTTTATCACAACACCGACATCATAATCGCAAGGAGTTCACACTCATCGTGACTGTGTCCAGCAGTCTCCAGCCGCGGTCCCCGTCAGACTTGGACGCCTATCACCGATGACCATTGCTTCACGTCCACAACACTTTACAAGGGATGACTGTGTGGCGAGAATGGATGCGTTGGTGATGGGTGTAGACGTGATTGCTTGTTGTGGGTGGTGTTATGCACAATGTTCTCCCCACGGCGTCTCCGTCGCTTGTACTTTGGCCTCTCTGCAATACTCCTCAACAGTCTTCCTGGCAGCTCTCTCAGTTTCCCTCAGGTCGGTCACTTAAGGGACATGTTACTAGTATTCAGTTCGTCATCATTGTCCCGTCCTGAATGCCCAGGAGGAAGTGTACAAGAAAAGGAGAGGAAGATGGCGACCTGTTAAATGTCACGCATATGATACTGGTATGCAACGTGGTCAATGTTTGTCTCAGGGTGTTGTCTACTACAATGTTTTTTTGGTGGTACTAGGTTGAGTGAAGGTAGCGTTTTTTGAGCTTGCGGATTTTCGTCTTTTGGATAGCCCAGTCGGCATGATGCGTCTTGAAGAGTGGGGAGAACGCTGGTGTATCAGATTCCAGCCCTCTAAATCGCAACAGCTGCTGATGACCACGAAAGCCACACGCCCTGTTGTCCCCGACATCAAGGTTGGAGGCATGGCGGTTCCGGAGGCCTACACCATCAAGATTCTTGGTGTGACATTCGACGCCATTATTGGCCCTGGTGCCCTTCTCCAAAGCCTGTGCCACCGCCAGACTGTATCTGGGCTGGTATACACCTGTATAAGCTCCAATGCATCCCAGGACCACCCCAACTCACAGCCATGATTCCCCTCCCCCCTCCCCCCTCCCCTCCAGCCAACCATGTAGAAGCTCGGCGCACCCGGAGTCAACCCCCTCTGACCAGCAGCACAATTTTGCAGCTGCAGCAAGTCCTGGACAGAAAAGCACCAGCTTTTTCTTCTCGTTCTTTCCCGTTTCCTTATGGAACAGCTTGCCTTGCGAAATTGTAAGGGCTCCACTCAGCTTGAGGCGGATCCACACCTTCAAGAAAGATGTCCATAAGCACCTCACGCACCAACACTGGCTGATGGCTACAGTACTGACTTCTACGGATGAACTCTAAATTCATTGTGGCACGGGTGATGTTCGTTGGTTCGGCTGTGCTGGTGGCTCTTTTAATTATGCTTGGGTATTGTAAACTGAGAACGTGCAAATGTACATTGTTTGTGGTTAAAACGTTCAATGATATTGAGTCTCATTTACCTTTTATTCATTACAGTTGTAGTTTGTTTCATTGTTATGATTATTATGATTTCCCTTTTTCTTAATTTCCTATTTAGCGCTTTTGGGTGTCATTATTTTTTGATGGCTTATTGCAACGCTGACGCCATGACATCTGGTTGGTCGAGTTGCTCCCAGAACATCCGCACGTCGTCCCTACATCCCCTGTGTTTTGTCTTTTGTCTTGTTTCTTTTTGTTCTCCACTTGTTACCGTACGTTTGGCGAGACTGAGAGACCAGAGAGCATGTACATGTACAGAAGATTGGCGTTGTAACAGATTCACTGTTACTACTAACACTAGGAATAGGATACACTTATCGCCTGCTATTATCACGCTGCTGCTGTTAGGTGTTATGTCCATCATTGCTTGTTCATGTATATAAGAATGCATTATGGCAAGGATCATTGCTTATTCCAAGAATGACTACTGAAGTTAGTTGGACTGTTACACTGGTAGCAAGAGGATGGTTGTTCTTTTCGTCATGTTCGGGCTATGCGCAGTGGCCGCATTAGTCGCCTACGGTATATTCGAGATTCAGAAGCGTCTGAATCACCTTATCGCACTCGGTCAGTGCGATGGATCAGATCAAACGCCAAGACGTGCTCAAGCTCCCAGCGGAGAGAGGCCACGCATGCGCCATGTTAAGTCTCCGCCTGTGTTTCGTGGAGATACAAGAGAGTTCAAGGAGTGGGCCTTCGCCATCGAACTCGCCATGAAGTCCCTGCAGCTGGACAACGCGGAGGAGCGCTTGAGCTACGCGGCGAGTTTTCTGGAGGGCAACGCTCGTCTTTGGTTTATCGCCTCTCAGGAGGCAAACACGCTGTTTTCCGACTGGCCAGACCTGAAGAGCAAGCTGGGAGAAGTGTACGGTTTATGACAGGGAACAGGCGCGCATCGACTTATTCGCTCTTCACCAAGATGAGACTCTTGACGAATACATCAACAAATTTTCGCGGCTTAGCTTAGAAGTTCCCGAGCTTGATGACCACTCCAGAGCTATCTTGTTCACGCGTGGGCTGGCTCAGGGCCTAAGCGGTGAGGTACTTAGGGAGCATCCGCAACATTTGGCCCAAGCCATACGAGCTGCGGTCTCAGCAGACCAGTCGATGCGGCTAGCCCAAGCAAGCTACGCCAAGGCAGTGCGCGCACCAGGGCATCAGAGGCGCCAGCCTGGACCCTGGTCAAGCCAACCAACACCATCCGGTGGGAGAGAAACCAGGGAGCCAGAGGGTCGTTCAAGGCTGTGTTTCACCTGCAGGAAACCCGGCCATATTGCCAGATTCTGTCCAGAAGGAGGGAGGAACGCCACAAGCAAGCCTTCTTTAAACGATGGACGCCAGTAAGGAAGGGAGTGCGACTACTGGCGAACACGAGAGCACCCAGGAATAGGCCACGAATCAAAGTTCAGAACAAATTCAGCCCCTTAGCAAATGAGGAACCACGCCTCGAGGAGACCGATATTCAAGCCTCGCCTGTCAAGCATTCGTCACCTGATACTGTTGGCCGGCCTAATGAAGTAACCGCCAGCACAGGGAGCATTTCCGCCGACAACGAACACGACCTAATGCGCGTCCAGGGCAAGATAAATGGACGTCGCGTTACCATGCTACTGGATTCTGGGTCAACCCACGACTTCATTTCAACTGACTTTGTCAAGAAGCACAACATCTCCACAACAACCGGTAGCGACGTCCTGAACGTCACACTTGCTGATGGATCGGTCCGCTCACAGCCTATTACGAAAACGGACAGCTTGAAGACCGTAGTCGGCGACTTTAGCGAGCACCAACAGTTCCTAGTATTCCCTATGACGCGGTATGACGTGATCCTCGGCAAACCATGGCTGACCCGGACGAACCCACAAATCAATTTTCGTACCAATGAAATCAAGCTGGAGGGGGGATCCATCATCTGTCAACCGAGTGAAAGTGATGGCACGGACAAATCCAACCCACCGATCGAGACGTTCCTCATCTCAGGGAAGCAGGCTAGGCATGCAATGAGAGGTGGCGCAGAAGGAATCCTAGCGTATGTGACAGCAGATCCGGACGAGCCACAGACGGTGGATAGTCCGGGTAGGGAGGATCAGAAGGATTTCAAGGACCTGCTGAAGGAGTTCGGGGACGTCCTTCCCGATGAGCTTCCAAACAAGCTGCCACCCAGAAGAGGCGCAGATCACGAGATAAAAACGGAAGAAGGAGCTAAACCGCCATCTCGTGCAGCATATCGTTTACCAAAACCAGAGATGGATGAGCTTCAAGCTCAGCTCACCGAGCTGCTCCGTAGAGGATTCATCCAGCCCAGCAAATCCCCATACGGAGCCCCTGTGTTCTTCGTAAAGAAAGCGGATGGAACACTTCGAATGGTATGCGACTGGCGTGAGCTAAACCGCATAACCATTAAGAACAAGGCATGCCTACCGAATATTGACGACCTCTTTGATACCGTCCAAGGCAGTGCGTATTTCACCAAGCTAGATCTGAGGTCCGGTTACAATCAGATTCGAATAGAAGAAACAGATATTCCGAAGACAGCAATAAATACCCCATTTGGTCACTTTCAGTTCACAGTGATGGGTTTCGGCCTAACAAATGCCCCGGCAACATTCCAAACCTTGATGAACAGTGTCCTCCAGCCATACCTGCGTAAATTCGTTGTGGTGTTTCTAGACGATATCCTCATATTCAGCAAATCATGGGAGGAGCACCTCGATCATGTCAGAACCATCTTAAACGCCCTCAGGAGGAATGAGCTATATTGCAAACCGTCTAAATGTGAATTCGGCCGGACAGACGTTCTGTTTCTTGGGCACCGGATAGACGGCCAATGCATTTCTCCAGATCCAGAGAAGATCAAGGCCGTGCATAACTGGCCTGTCCCGACGACGGTCACGCACGTAAGACAGTTTCTGGGATTCGCTAATTACTTTCGAAGGTTCATTAACCATTTCTCGGCCATCTCCAAACCCCTGGAGGAACTGACAGGGAAACATGTGCGCTTCGAGTGGAATCAGACTCGACAGGAGGCATTTGAGCGATTGAAGTCTGCTCTGCTGGATGCACCAGTGTTGCGACTAGCAAACGTCAGTCAGGATTTCCGCGTTGAGACTGACGCAAGTGACTTTGCTGTGGCAGGAGTCTTAACGCAGCAAGCAGAGGACCAGTCCTGGCATCCTGTGGCTTACGTGAGCCGAAAGCTGTCTTCTGCCGAACGGAATTACGCGGCCGCCGAGCGAGAAACTTTGGCTGTAGTGTACGCCCTGCAGTGCTGGCGAGTCTACCTATTTCGCCACTTTCAACTCTACACCGACAACATGGGAGTTGTCTACCTCAGGACCAAACCAAACTTAACCAAGAGAGAGGCTCGATGGATTGAATTCCTGGCCGACTATGACTACACGGTACATCACAAGCCAGGGAAGTGTAACATAGCAGACCCGTTGTCACGTCGACCAGACTTGGAACTGAATGGAATCGAGTTCTCTCTGGATGTGAATCAAGGAATTGCGAATCAGATCTCAGCAGGGTATGATAGTGACCCAGAGCTTTCGCCAGTAATCAAGCGCTTGATGGCTTGCAGCGAAGACGCCATGCATGAGCGATACGTCTGGAACAGCGTGGACCGGCGGCTGTACCTAGTAACATCGGGCGATGCTCGCCTCTGCATTCCTCGCGGTCCGGTACGGCTGCAACTGCTCAAACAGAATCATGATTGCCTGACGGCCGGCCATCCGGGGAGAGACAGGACCTACCTGAAGCTGAGCAGATACTTCTATTGGCCAGGCATGAGAAGTACTGTGAAGGACTTCGTTAAATCTTGCGACCGGTGCCAACGCGTAAAGGGTAGCCAGACCAAGGCAGGACTGTTGCAGTCCCTTCCAGTCCCCGAACAGCCCTGGACAGACATCAGCATGGATTTCATCATGGCACTGCCGCTGACCTGCCGAGGACATAGCGCCATTCTAACCTTTGTGGACCGTCTGACGAAGTATGTGCACCTGATCCCGACGACTGTTCATGTTGACTCTAAGGAGGCAGCCCGATTGTACGTGGATCATGTGTTTGCTGCCCATGGCTTGAGCAAAACGATAGTTTGCGATCGAGATCCGCGATTCACGTCGGCGTTCTTCAAGGAGGTTTTCAGTATTCTTGGCGTGGAGCTAAAAATGAGCACGGCCAACCACCCGCAGACCGATGGCATGACTGAGCGTGTGAACCGTGTCATTGAGGATACGCCAAGAGCTTTCGTCAACCATAGGCAAAACAATTGGGATGAACTCCTATCGCTATGTGAGTTTGCGATCAACAATGCCGATCAAGCGTCAACAGGTAACACGCCATTTTTTCTCAACCATGGATGCCATCCAGTTACTCCCTCGAGCTTATTGACGAAGCAGAAAGCTGGAGCTGGCATGGACACGAATGGTCCGCTGTCATGGCTGGATGGCCGCGTAGAGGCACTACGTGAGGCACAGGATGCCATCGTGGCGGCGGAGGCCCGGCAATCATTGTATGCGGATCGAGGACGGGTGGAGGACGCCCTGAAGGAGGGGGATGAGGTGTTGGTCTTCAGGGACTTCCTGCTGACGCCCGAGGAACGAGACAGGCCTTCACACAAATTAAGGCTCAAGTGGTATGGGCCGTTCAAGGTGCAGAAGAAAGTGGCCCCGAATGCGTACAGATTAGCTCTTCCAAGAATCATTCGGGCCCATCCAGTGTTCAATATTGCTGCCCTCAAGCTGTACCATGGCAATGAGATACCGGGCCGTACTCAGCCGGCACCTCCACCCCTAACCGATGCGGATGGCCATACGCGGTACATTGTCGAAAAGGTGTTGTCGCACAAGAAGAGAGGACGGCGCACGCAGTACCTAGTGAAATGGAAGGGCTACCGAGATGCCACCTGGGAGCCGGAGGAATACTTGATGGATGAAGCAGGAAACGCTATTATTCCGCTGAAAACCTACCTGGACCGTTTTTCATAAAATTGCTATTTAATTGGCAGCCACAGTTGTATTGCTAGTTTCTACGTGTTGCAATAGAAATGTAGCATTCTGCATGATTAGGATAGTGCTTCCCTGCCAGCCAGGCGTTATTTGCAGAGGACATGCACTGGATCTTGAGTTCATCAGTGTTGTTTTCGGCTACCATGCATTCCACATATCCATGCATGATCATTAGTTACCATAACTGTTCCTTCGAATTGGTACTGTTCTGACAGTTGAGAGGGGGGAATGGTGTAACAGATTCACTGTTACTACTAACACTAGGAATAGGATACGCTTATCACCTGCTATTATCACGCTGCTGCTGTTAGGTGTTATGTCCATCATTGCTTGTTCATGTATATAAGAATGCATTATGGCAAGGATCATTGCTTATTCCAAGAATGACTACTGAAGTTAGTTGGACTGTTACACTGGCGTCCTCAGTCACTCCTCACGCTATTGCAACATCCCGTATCACATCATGCTGGTATACGGGTACATGTACGTTGGTAAGGCGGTCAGGCTGTTCTCTCTTATCTCTTCTTTTCCTTTGTATTTTCTCCCTTGTGAGTTGGGCGTGCGCTTCTTTAAAAGTATAAAATGTTACTTTTTGCACGAACATTTTCTTCCCTTCCCCTCTCGGTATATATTTCTGTCTCCCCACTCTCTCCCTCTCTGTAGTTCACATACATGTATATCAAAGGAGGCAAAACCGCCTGTTTGTGGTGCGACGTTACCTAAACTTCATCACCATCAACAACAACAACAACAACAACAACAACAACAACAACAAAAACAACAACAACATCAACACCACCACCAACAACTATATCGTGAGAACAAAGATTTGAAACAACAACAACAACAACGACAACAACGACAACAACAACGACAACAACGACAACAACAACAACAACAACAACAACAACAACAACAACAACAACCGCTCTTGTAATGGTTCATGAATCCGCCCAGTCTATATTCCTTTTCCGTTTCTCTCCGTTTTTCTTTCCTTTCAGTTGCATCTTCCTTTCTGCTCTGTTTTACTTTCTCTTTTCGTTTGCCCCTCTTGATATTTGTACGTTGTACTGTTGAGGCAACGAAATGAAATAATAAAAACCAACCAAACCAACCAGCAACAACAAAAAACATGTGACATTGGAATTATGCGGGCCATTGTCTCCGCACCACCACTATCCCTAACTCCCTATGCAACAATCACAGGTGCTATAGATGAAAATTATCCCATCCCTAGATGAGCTCTGGAGTCGAGTGGGCCCCTTCCAAAGTGTTGAAGATGACATCTTAAAGACGGGCCATATCATTGGAACACGTTCAGGAAGCCTCGAGCCGCAATCGTATGAACATGGCAGGTAATCCTGAGTGAACTTGAAGGCCACCGACTTCGTCCACTGTGTTGATTGACCTACGGTAACACGATGTAAATGTGGACAGAGCGAAAGTGAACACTAGCCATTGGCGGACTATGCTCGGCCAATCGTCAAATTATGCTTTTGATTATGCTACAATTATGCCAACAAATATGCTGGATTATGCTCGGTTCCACTATGTACATGTATTCACGCTGTACATAGAGGATTGAGAAGCCACGCATACACACACGGCCATGCCCTTAGCATAATTTTGTCAAAACCGAAAGATTATGCCGACCTTACACGTTGGAATCCGTATATTATGCCGGAGCATAATTTTTTGACGAAATCCCAAGATTATGCCAAATATTATGCCGGCATAATCCGCCAAGGGCTATTGAACACCTTCTCAGAGTTGTGCCGCTGCGTATAACGCCAATCTGATCAGCAGGCAATGCTGACCTACTATGTACATGTACATGTACCGGTATTTGTAATGTGTTTGCCGCATCCCTTTTTAAAGGGAAGCGGCAAACCCATTACAAATACCGGTAAGATTACAAGGATCTGCGTACTTCGAAGTACGTATTTTTTGTTTTGTGATTCAGGTCACAGTGTATTGCGGTGACTTCCGGTACATGCAGCTGCCAGCTTTTAAAATCATTCGACTTCAGCTCAAGGTCATAATTATGGTTAGCTATTACTGGAACCCCGTTGCGTTCAACAATACCCACACACTCGTCTAAAGATGGCTTTGCAACAATGGGTGAACTGAATCAAAAAAATTCGTGTGCTATTATTGTGTACATGTAGTCACAGGCCACCAGACCATAATATTCGAAATTCGGTAACCGAACTGACATTTCCATGTGCGTGTACAGTGGTGCGTTCTATTCATGCGCCCCGACCCCACACAATTGTAACGTTGCGTGGCATTTTAAACTTAGAAAACAATGGCTGATTTCATTAAAAGAACCCAGACGTCCTCAAAATCATCCAGTTTTCATAAACATAACAATAGAACAGCTTCCTCAGACACACGCATCCACGCACATGCTTCTGGCCCATATCTGCGAGAGTTACCTCGGACGCGCAAAGATGTCACTGTGGTGCTTCGAGTCACGCCTACTAATAACTATACTAATGATGCACGGCTGGTTCCGTGAAACGGTCATTAATTTTATGAATTCTCCTCTCGGTGTTGGTTACAGGTGGGCTCGACGCCTCCAGGTCACCTGAGCTGGGGGATGCTAATTGACGTGCAAACATCGTACAGTGTGCACGTGTGTATTGTGACTTTTCCAATAGAGAGTTCCCAGATTGCCTAGAGTGCTCAACACCACAACAAGATGGAGCAATACCACAAAGGCAGAAGAGCAGAGAGAAAATCGGCTAGATCATTAATTTTGTTGTAACGCTGCGTTTCTTGCGCATAGCAAAGCTCGGCTTGTGACTTTTATGTGCTGTTACGAATATCGATTTCGAATCGAATCAATCACCGACGCACTTTATGACAGTCCAAGGACGATCAAGGACAGCAAATCGGATCTCGCACCAAATTATTATTTTTTGCTACCTGACCATGCAACCTCCCCCCCCCCCCCCTTTTCTTCTCGATGCCAGGTTGCAACGCTAACGCCGAGACCCCTGGTCGGTCGAGTTGCTCCCTGTACATCGGCACGTCGTCCCTACATCCCCTGTGTCTTGTCTTGTGTTTGTCTCCACATGTCTCTTTGTAGGGCTGTGTTCCCAATATTAATAATAAAAAAAATCTAGTATCTCATTTAGCTGGGTGGGAGGACTTCGCAGATACAGTAAAACCTGCCAAGGCGACCACTCAAGGGACTTTCAAAACATGGTCTCTGTTACCAGGTGGTCTCCTTATCCAGGGTCATTTGACTGGAAATAGCATCCCTCGATCCTGGTTTCAGTGGTCTTCTTGGACAGGTGGTCGCCTTATCCGAGTGGTCGCCTTGACAGGTTTTGCTGTACATGTACATGTAGTCGTTGAGCCAATCGCCGTCTGACGTCATGACCAGGACAGTTGGATTCGATTTCAATGTCTCAAGTGGTGTGTACTGACTATCCACACCACGCCTGATCGGCCAAAACCTTACATGTACGTGACAGTGCCAGTGCTTGAACAGCTCATTTTATCCACTTCACTGGCGATGATAATTAGTAGGTGGGTACCCTGGCATTTTGGCAATCAGGTCGCAACCAGCGCCGCACAAATGAAACTTATCAAGGCCGCTCTCGAAGTGTCGAGGAGAAACACACGTGGTCGTCCATTCACTACAACATCCTGTAATTGGGTCCTCGATACGTGTCGTGAACCCACTTGAAGGGAAACAGCTTTTCTCGACATACTAGTACAGTCGTCCCTCTCTAATCCGGCACTTTATAATCCAGCACCCTCGATAAACCAGCATGATTTTCAGTAGCCAAAATGTCCTCTTCATGCACATTACAGCAGTAAATCAGATTTGTTAATCCAGCACCCTCCCTAATCCAGCAGATTTCCGTGGCACAAATAGTGCCGGATTAGAGAGGGACCACTGTACTCAGTATCGTACTAACTGCACTGAGTTTGTGTGCATTGGGAGGAAGAAACGAAGGTGAGATTGAAGCCGGGTCAAATCAGCACTTTATCCCTGTGCATGTACATGTACATGTACATGTATGTTCAGAGTTCGATTCATTGCACCGTTCAAGTAGTATACTTACGGTTTTCTGCTGCTGGTACTGCTGCTGCGCGTTATGGCATACAGTCAAACCTCTTTAGGACGAACATCAAGGGACCAGTGATATTTGTTCGCAATAACAGGAGTTCTTCTTATCCATGTGTTTTACCCAGTGAATACACAGGGTTTTATCCGATACAGTTACGAATGCTAGTTCTTCTTAGGCAAACATTTGTCTTATCAGTGTTCTTCCTAACCAGGTTTCACTGTATTTGGCGCCCCTATGACCCGAATGGTTATGACCAGAAAGGTTATGGGATATACATGTACACGCACATGCACAATGTACATGGACATTCGGTGCCCCATGCTTTGCAATGGCAGGATGGACAGGACAGGCGGACTGTTCAGCATACATGTACATGTACATGTACGTGTGTTCCCACAACACCTGAAGTTAATGTGGAGGCCGTAGCAAAAGCACTGGATAGTAATTGTAATAGTAATAGTAATACCCAATTCATTTCGCCATCAACTCACTGCATGCAAGTGCAATGTCATGTACATAATTATTGCACTTGCACTTTGTGAAGACGACTTCTGTTTACCGTTTTTAAAAGGTAAAACAAGTGGTAAAAAAGATCCGTTGAGAATGCCCAAGTAAAATAACAAAATCACCACTCGAACCTTTGACGTTGCTGGTCATGACATGATGGAGGCGCCATCGCCTGTTTGTGTTGCGACTTTAAAATAAAATTCAACAACAACGACAACGACAACAACAACAACAACAACAACAACAACAACAACAACAACAACAACAGCAACAACAGCAACAACAACAACAACAACAACAACAACAACAACAACAACAACAACAACAACAACAACAACAACAACAACAACAACAACAACAACAACAACAACAACAACAACAACAACAACAACAACAACAACAACAACAACAACAACAACAACAACAACAACAACAACAACAACAACAACAACAACAACAACAACAACAACAACAACAACAACAACAACAACAACAACAACAACAACAACAACAACAACAACAACAACAACAACAACAACAACAACAACAACAACAACAACAACAACAACAACAACAACAACAACAACAACAACAACAACAACAACAACAACAACAACAACAACAACAACAACAACAACAACAACAACAACAACAACAACAACAACAACAACAACAACAACAACAACAACAACAACAACAACAACAACAACAACAACAACAACAACAACAACAACAACAACAACAACAACAACAACAACAACAACAACAACAACAACAACAACAACAACAACAACAACAACAACAACAACAACAACAACAACAACAACAACAACAACAACAACAACAACAACAACAACAACAACAACAACAACAACAACAACAACAACAACAACAACAACAACAACAACAACAACAACAACAACAACAACAACAACAACAACAACAACAACAACAACAACAACAACAACAACAACAACAACAACAACAACAACAACAACAACAACAACAACAACAACAACAACAACAACAACAACAACAACAACAACAACAACAACAACAACAACAACAACAACAACAACAACAACAACAACAACAACAACAACAACAACAACAACAACAACAACAACAACAACAACAACAACAACAACAACAACAACAACAACAACAACAACAACAACAACAACAACAACAACAACAACAACAACAACAACAACAACAACAACAACAACAACAACAACAACAACAACAACAACAACAACAACAACAACAACAACAACAACAACAACAACAACAACAACAACAACAACAACAACAACAACAACAACAACAACAACAACAACAA